AGTAGGCCAAGAAGGGACCATTGTCAAGACTGATGAAGCAAATGAAGGCAATGTGGGGTCTAAAAGAGAGAGAGTGAAAGGTTTGATTCGAAAGTACGCGTCGTTTGGGAGAGAGAAGAACGATGTCAAACTGAAAGAACAGATTGCAGCAATATGGAAGAAGAGTTACTTGAGGAGATTGACATTCAAGTTTAAGGAAAATGATGATCAGAGCAACAACACAAACGGAAAGGTGAATGGAGAGCCCAAGATGGAACTCACACAGTATCAGCCGAGGCTGGCTCGTTGTATGAGTTTTGGTGGTCAAAAAAAGTTCAAGGAACATGTGTAGCACTTACTGAAATTTCTCAATTAATTACGTTGCTACTTTGTGGGTTGATGATATTCTTAATGTTACTCTTGTAATTTTATTTATTTATTTTTTGCTTTTTTTGTTTTTATTTTTGTTTTTTGGGATTGTTAAAAAGAAAATGAAATTATATAGAATTAAATCACAGAATGTGAGTCTCTCCTCTCGTCTTTGTTTTTGTCTTCTTGCTTAAAACAATAAACAAAGTCTGTAAGTTCAAATCAAATTGTTTGAATGATAGTTTTAATTTTTAATTTTATTTATTTTATGGATCCTATCTACCAAACCCTGCTCCAATGTTCTTCTTGTTTTATGTAATCATAAGATCATCATTTTATAAAAATTTTATACTAATGTATAGTTGATTTATTGTTTAATTTCTTTTTTTTCTATTCTTGTATTAAAATGAGTTTTGGCACTGGGGCATTTAGACAAGTAGATTTTTTTTTTTTAAAATATAAAAAATTGGGGAAAAGTCTATTTGAAAGGGGTATACAGTATTAGAGCAAAGGTAAAATCTTATTTGGTGATAAGGATATGTCGGAAAAGGTCGTCTGAAAAATTCAATGGCGCCAAAAAATTCGCCCAAAAAGTCGCAAAAAAAGTCACCACGGGTAGCAGATGGTGGTTGTGAGGTAGAAAAATGGGTGATATTCAACATATAGTTGGTTTGGTGAATTTTAACAGATATATAGATAGGTTGATTTCAACAAATAGTTGTTCTTTTTGACAAATTGTGTCTTTTTGACCTAAAGAGATTAGATCTTGGGCCTAATGATCTAAAAAATTCAGAAATGAATTTATAGCCTGAGTGGTCTTTTAAATACGGGTTTGAAGGTGTGATTTTGTTGTGATTTAGCTGTGGTGTTTCTATTGGGAGATTTTTGTTGAATTTTGGGATTTTATTGTGTGGTGGAGGAGCAAATTGGAGGTATGGGATAACAATGATAGTATGTTGAATGAAGAAGAGGCAATGATAGAGGGAGATGGTGCTGGATTGCAGTAGATTTGCTTTCTTTTTCTTTTTTGGATAATTGAGAACCATGTTTTAAGGAGGGTCCTTTGGACCTATCTAGGAACATAAATTTAAGGAGGAAGCAACATCTTTTGGAAATGGGTGTAATTTGTGATGGTGGCAACAACAATGGAGGTGGAAGGGGCAAAGGAGTGCGACCGTGGCAGGTGATGGGGAAAGAGGAGGTGGTGTTGGTGGTTGGCAGTGATGTCTCTCTTTCTCTATGCATTCCGGGGTTGGTAGTAGTGTTGAGTGTAGTGCAACTCAGGTAAGTTCGGATGGGTTGAGAGTAAGGTTTTCAAAAGCAGTTGTGGTCGTCATAATGGTGGCGGTGGCAGTGGTGCAGTTGCGGAGTGTAAAGGCCGTAGCGTAATGGTTGCGGTAACCGGTACTATAATTTTTTTTATTTTTTATACAATTTGAAAAAAACTCACAGATACGCATATTTTTTTTTCTTCTATAATCATATTTATTAGTTTTCAAAATAAATATTGATCAATTTATATAAATTTTTAACTATAATCTAATATATTTCATATTTTTAAATCACTATAAACTGGGTTTTTTAAATTTTATTTTAATAATTAATAACTTTATATGCCATAAATACATATTACGTTTGTGGCAAAAAAATTTTTTATTGGACTTAGATGTATAGAATTATTTTTTTAATTATTATAATTGTGGAAGCATATGCAAATTTTAACTTGAATAGTTTTAAAAAATAAATTATACATGCTAATGTAATCATATAAATTTTAAAAAAAAATTATAAAGAAAAAAAAAAGTTTGAATCACTTAAATATTCATTCTCTTTTTGAATAATCTATAAATAAAAATAAAATAAACTAATCAACAAAAATTGACATGCTTCGTTTGGGAAGTGAGTTAACTTTTTGACTTTTTTGGCTATTTTAACCTGGGGCTAAAAGCTTGGTTTGGAAAGAACTTTTGACTTTTTGACTTTTTTAATTTTTTTTGTGAGAGAAAGAATGTAATGATTATGGGTTGGATGTGATGTTTTGTCTTATTGGACTAAAAAATCTATTTTATTTTTTGTGGCTATTTTAGCCAAAAAAGCCACAAAACCCACTTCCCAAACATAGGCACAAATAGTTTTTAAAATAATAAGTTTTTTGAGTTTTTTTTTTATATATAAAATTAATTAATTATAACATAAATAGTTTTTAAAATAATAACCTGTAAAAAAATGATCTTAAAAAATGTCATTGAAATTTTAAACACACAGCCCTATATATAATATCATAAAGATAGCTATTGATTTCAAATAAAGATATTATTAAACGTTATTCTCTTTTATTAAATGATGAAGGTTCTGGTGGAAGTTAGAAAAACCCATGAAAGAGATCTGTTACGGATTGAGCGTTTGTCATCCTCTCGAAAAGTCGATTTTACGAGTGGTACTGCGTATCCCGTGAATTATGCCAAAGGACTAACCCAGGAGATACGATATAGGGATTTACCTACCCTGCCTGCATTACTGTTCACAAACTAATGCGTTTGCAAGGTTCTTGGTGTAGAACTCGTATCCCCAATAAGTCGGTACGTGACATGCTATTACCGTCAGTCCCTAACGCCCTCGTCAAGGGGACATTACCCTGCTTGTCTCCATACTCGTCCGTTCCCCTACCCATGGGAACCCACCCTGTGCGGACACCACCCTTGGTGCGGACCCCACGATGAAGGTGCTTGGTGTAAGTCCTATGTACCATCTCCATCATAGTACCCCTAGGCTGGCTCTGATACCACTTGTCACGGATCGGGCACTTGTCATCCTCCCGAGAAACCGACTCCATGAGTGGTACTGCGTACCCCATGAATTATGCTCAATGACCAACCTAGGAGATGCGATAAGGATCTACCCTACCTGCCTTGCCGCTCACAAACTAATGCGCTTACAAGGTGCTTAGTGTAGAACTCACATCCCCAATGAGTCGGTACATGACATGTTACCACCGCCAGTCCCTAACGCCCTTGTCAGGGAGACATTACCCTGCCTGCCTCCATACTTGTCCGTTTCCCTACCCATGGAAAACCTGCCCCGCGCGGACACCACCCTTGGTGCGGACCCCATAATAAAGGTGCTCGGTGTAAGTCTCACATATTGTCCCCATCACAGTGCCCCTAGGCTGGCTCTGATACCACTTGTCACGGACTAGGTGCTTGTTATCCTCCTGAGAAGTCGGCTCCATGAGTGGTATTGCGTACCCCCGTGCATTATGCCAAAGGACCAACCTAGGAGATGCGATAAGAATCTACCATGCCTGTCTTGCCGCTCACAAACTAATGTGCTTATAAGATATTTAGTGTAGAACTCGCATCCCCAATGAGCTGGTACGTGATAATATGCTTGCTAAGTACACGCTGCCTTCTTATTTTGGGCAACTCATAATGAAATAATTTTAATTTCAAAAGACACAAATAAAGAAAGAAAACTTGCTCTATATCATAAGAATACTATCTCAATTTCAATTGTGATGAAATGATAAATTGTTTCTAGCGGGTGACTAAATTGTTTATGCAACTCAAAAATTATGAAAAAAATGTAAATGAAATATAAATTACAATTTTTAATTGTTTTATCTGCAACTTTAATAACCTTTCACAAGCTTGTTAAAAAAAAAATTTTTTATTTAAATTCATATTCCAACCAGGGTATTAAACAACTTAACATAAGAGTTGAAAATTTTAATTTGAAATGTTAGTACAAGTTGAAGCATTTGCTCAAACATTTTTTCCGTACTGCCAAATTTTCACTTGCGCCCTACTTAATTTGTGGGTTAATTTGCAAGTTCTTATTATCAACTCATTTGGAATTGGTTAATTAGATTCTTTGATCAAGCTGTCTCACAAAATGTCAAACCAATCTAGTTGTAATTCCTGACTGAGTCATGGATGATTATTCAAATACTTTGATATTATTAACTAATGAAATTTCACAAAAATAGATGGATAGAACCCACATTAAGCCCAGGTTCTAATAATAAGTTGATTGCTGATATAAAGGAAAAATTAAAAATACTATTTCCCAACTTTTCAATAATTTTTTTTCCCCCCAACTTATTGAAACTATGTCTAACTATAAGTAGAATTTGAATCAAATATTATAATACAAATTTTCAAAATAAAAATCTATAAGTAGCTCCATAAGTTACATCCAACATCCCCTTGTATTATATTCAACTGACCAAATTGAGTTAAGTCGACTTCACTCATATTATTTGTTTATTTATTTATTAAAAAATCAGGTTATCTCCTACATAGCGCAGCCTAATTAGGTCAGAGTTATTGCGTAACTAGAAAGTCAAGAACTAATCTTTAGATATTTAAAAATTAACAACCAAATTAATCTCTAATGCATTTTCAAAAAGTTGAGCTCGAAAGATCGGATATTAAAAGCATCACACCACATACTGAGTGATACTTTGAAAATAATGAATAATTATTCCACAATCAACTCTCATTGCTAAATTTTTGGTCTGATCTCGTGTGTGAGTCATCAAAATTTTAAATTTAGAAAGTCAAGCCACCAATGTTTCTGCTCAATTTTGTTGCAAAATTGGAAAATTACAATGCAAAGTATCTTTGAGCACTAGTATATGCTCTGAACAAAATATATAATAATACAATAAAAAGGACAAACTTTTGGTCCTGTATGTCACTAAGCCACACTCCAAGAAGAGGAATAGTACAAAATAATAAATGCTTGATTTTGATGCATCATTAACCATTTTTAATGCTTACTTTGAATGCTTTTTATCAGTTCTGGACAGAAACAAGGACTTTTTTTTGCCTTCTTGAACTTTTTGTTTGAATATTTAAAAATTAATTATTTAAGAGAAACAAAGAGTCATACATGTGTCTATGTCTATCCTTAAATTCAGCAGCAAAATAGTCTCCACTCAATCCCCTTCTCAAGCCACTTGTGTAATATTTGCAGGATTATAGTTGGAGCTTGTCTCGTTTATAACTTCTTCTAGCTTGTATACTTAAATTGTTCATAAACTGCTCGAACTCGTCTTGTATAGTCAAATGGAAGTAATTTCCAATTCCAATGGTTCTTTCTATATGATGAGTGCACCAACTAGTCCAACCAGGTGCAGCAACCTCAACAGCATGTACTTCTACAGCGTGCCAACAAGTCCCATCAAAGAGATTGGGCTCAGAAATGCCTCGTTGGGCTACGAATCCGATGTCAACTTCAATTTTGATGACTTTGAATTCGAAACGAGCAAGAAATTCAGGCTCAAAGTCTTGGAATTTGATACTGATAAAAAATGTCAGAATTTCGAGTACCAACTGAATAATCATCAGCGACAAAGACGACAACGTGGGGATACGTTGCCTTCAATGGCGTTCGCAGACGAGCTCTTTAGCAATGGCCAAGTGCTTCCCCTAAAGCCCCCACCCCGGCTTCAACGTGCCAATGGCCTTAGCCCCAAAAATACAACTGCTTCTTCGCCTAGATCGCCTAGTTCGGTGTTCAAAATTTCATTTCGACGTCCAAGCACGTGGAATGATGAATTTGATCCATTCGTGGTTGCTTTGGACAAAGTTAAGGAAGAAAAGAGGAGGACAAGCCACCATAGGCGTGCTAGGTCTCTTTCACCATTTAGAACCACCAACACCGCTACCACTACTGCTCCACAACATGAAAATATCAAATGGGATCGACAATACGAAAACAAACAAGTGGGTCCATTAGAACCAATGCAAAAACTTCAAATTGGGCCAAACCGAAATGAGGTGATTGACTATTCCAAAGGGGCAGCCTATGCAAGATGGTATCGACGCGAGAGCAAGCAAATTGATGAGCCCAAAAAGTCATCAAAAGTAGAGAAAATTAGCTCAAAAGGACCACAAAAGCACGAGGGGTCGGGTTTTGGGAAAAGAGTGAGACCGGTGAAAGCAATAGTAGGCCAAGAAGGGACCATTGTCAAGACTGATGAAGCAAATGAAGGCAATGTGGGGTCTAAAAGAGAGAGAGTGAAAGGTTTGATTCGAAAGTACGCGTCGTTTGGGAGAGAGAAGAACGATGTCAAACTGAAAGAACAGATTGCAGCAATATGGAAGAAGAGTTACTTGAGGAGATTGACATTCAAGTTTAAGGAAAATGATGATCAGAGCAACAACACAAACGGAAAGGTGAATGGAGAGCCCAAGATGGAACTCACACAGTATCAGCCGAGGCTGGCTCGTTGTATGAGTTTTGGTGGTCAAAAAAAGTTCAAGGAACATGTGTAGCACTTACTGAAATTTCTCAATTAATTACGTTGCTACTTTGTGGGTTGATGATATTCTTAATGTTACTCTTGTAATTTTATTTATTTATTTTTTGCTTTTTTTGTTTTTATTTTTGTTTTTTGGGATTGTTAAAAAGAAAATGAAATTATATACAGAATTAAATCACAGAATGTGAGTCTCTCCTCTCGTCTTTGTTTTTGTCTTCTTGCTTAAAACAATAAACAAAGTCTGTAAGTTCAAATCAAATTGTTTGAATGATAGTTTTAATTTTTAATTTTATTTATTTTATGGATCCTATCTACCAAACCCTCCTCCAATGTTCTTCTTGTTTTATGTAATCATAAGATCATCATTTTATAAAAATTTTATACTAATGTATAGTTGATTTATTGTTTAATTTTTTTTCTTTTTTTTCTTTCTATTCTTGTATTAAAATGAGTTTTGGCACTGGGGCATTTAGACAAGTAGATTTTTTTTTTTTTTTTTTAAATAGAAAAAATTGGGGAAAAGTCTATTTGAAAGGGGTATACAGCATTAGAGCAAAGGTAAAATCTTATTTGGTGATAAGGATATGTCGGAAAAAGTCGTCTGAAAAATTCAATGGCGCCAGAAAATTCGCCTAAAAAGTCGCAAAAAAAGTCACCACGGGTAGCAGATGGTGGTTGTGAGGTAGAAAAATGGGTGATATTCAACAGATAGTTAGTTTGGTGAATTTTAAGAGATATACAGATAGGTTGATTTCAACAAATAGTTGTTCTTTTTGACAAATTGTGTCCTTTTGACCTAAAGAGATTAGATCTTGGGCCTAATGATCTAAAAAATTCAGAAATGAATTTATAGCCTGAGTGGTCTTTTAAATACGGGTTTGAAGGTGTAATTTTGTTGTGATTTAGCTGTGGTGTTTCTATTGGGAGATTTTTGTTGAATTTTGGGATTTTATTGTGTGGTGGAGGAGCAAATTGGATGTGTGGGATAACAATGATAATATGTTGAATGAAGAAGAGGTAATGATAGAGGGAGATGGTGCTGGATTGCAGTAGATTTGCTTTCTTTTTCTTTTTTGGATAATTGAGAACCATGTTTTAAGGGTCCTTTGGATCTATCTAGGAACATAAATTTAAGGAGGAAGCAACATCTTTTGGAAATGGGTGTAGTTTGTGATGGTGGCAACAACAATGGAGGTGGAAGGGGCAAAGGAGTGCGACTGTGGCAGGTGATGGGGAAAGAGGAAGTGGTGTTGGTGGTTGGCAGTGATGTCTCTCTCTCTCTCTATGCATTTCGGGGGTGGTAGTAGTGTTGAGGGTAATGGTGCAACTCAGGTAAGTTCGGATGGGTTGAGAGTAAGGTTTTCAAAAGTGGTTGTGGTCGTCGTAATGGTGGCGGTGGCAGTGGTGCAGTTGCGGGGTGTAAAGGCCGTAGTGTAATGGTTGCGGTAACTGATACTAAATTTTTTTTTTAATTTTTTATACAATTTGAAAAAAACTCACCGATACGCATATTTTTCTTTCTTCTATAATCATATTTATTAGGTTTCAAAATAAATATTGATCAATTTATGTAAATTTTTAACTATAATCCAATATATTTCATATTTTTAAATCACTATAAACTGGGTTTTTTAAATTTTATTTTAATAATTAATGACTTTATATGTCATAAATGCATATTACGTTTGTGGCAAAAAAAATTTTATTGGACTTAGATGTATAAAATTATTATTTTTAATTATTATAATTGTGGAAGCATATGCAAATTTTAACTTGAATAGTTTTAAAAAATAAATTATACATGCTAATGTAATCATATAAAAATTAAAAAAAAAATTATAAAGAAAAAAAAAAGGGTTTGAATCACTTAAATATTCATTCTCTTTTTGAATAACCTGTAAATAAAAATAAAATAAACTAATCAACAAAAATTAACATAGGCTTCGTTTGGGAAGTGGGTTGACTTTTTGATTTTTTTGGTTATTTTAACCTGGGGCTAAAAGCTTGGTTTGGAAAGGGCTTTTGACTTTTTTAATTTTTTTTTGTGAGAGAAAGAATGTAATGATTATGGGTCGGATGTGATGTTTTGTCTTATTGGACTAAAAAATCTATTTTATTTTTTGTGGTTCTTTTAGCCAAAAAAGCCACAAAACCTACTTCCCAAACAGAGGCACAAATAGTTTTTAAAATAATATTTGAGTTTTTTTTTATATATAAAATTAATTAATTATAACATAAATAGTTTTTAAAATAACAACCTGTAAAAAAATGATCTTAAAAAATGTCATTGAAATTTTAAACACACAGCCCTATATATAATATCATAAAGATAGCTATTGATTTCAAATAAAGATATTATTAAACGTTATTCTCTTTTATTAAATGATGAAGGTTCTGGTGGAAGTTGGAAAGACCCACGAAAGAGATTTGTTACGGACTGAGCGTTTGTCATCCTCTTGAGAAGTCGATTTTACGAGTGGTACTGCATACCCCGTGAATTATGCCAAAGGACTAACCCAAGAGATACGATATAGGGATTTACCTACCCTGCCAGCATTACTGTTCACAAACTAATGCGTTTGCAAGGTTCTTGGTGTAGAACTCGCGTCCCCAATAAGTCGGTACGTGACATGCTATTATCGTCAGTCCCTAACGCCCTCGTCAAGGGGACATTACCCTGCTTGTCTCCATACTTGTCTGTTCCCCTATCCATGGGAACCCACCTTGTGCGGACACCACCCTTGGTGCGGACCCCACAATGAAGGTGCTTGGTGTAAGTCCTATGTACCATCTCCATCATAGTACCCCTAGGCTAGCTCTGATACCACTTGTCACGGATCGGGCACTTGTCATCCTCCCGAGAAGCCGGTTCCATGAGTGGTACTGCGTACCCCATGAATTATGCTCAATGACCAACCTAGGAGATGCGATAAGGATCTACCCTACCTGCCTTGCCGCTCACAAACTAATGCGCTTACAAGGTGCTTAGTGTAGAACTCACCTCCCAAATGAGTCGGTACATGATAGCGAGCTTTAAATAATAAATACATAAATGCCATTATATTATATAAAGACTAGTCATTATCAAGAAGTCAAAGAGCCCCATTCTTTATACCCAAAGATATAAAGAAAGAGAGAGAGAGACAACCCAACGAGAGAGAAAAAAAAAGAGAGACAGAGAACACTGTAAAGAGAGAGAGAGAGAGAGAGAGAGAGAGTATGAAACGAGCGAGAGGACGAAAGATACTTGCAAAACCCTAAACATCGAAGATTGCAGTCCAGATTTCTTCGAATTTCAAATTGTACGTCAATCATATGAGCAAAGAATTGTATCTCTCGGTATGTATCTTTGATTCGAAGCATTTAAGCCAAGTTTCCTTTGTTTCTCATTTTTCCTTTTATTTTTTTGGTAATCCAATTAGGCGTCGTCTCCCTGGAAAAAAATGTTCAGTGCGCAAGATGCATACTTGAGGTGTTTAACCTAGACCTATTTCTCCTTCATCTTCCCCCTTCTCTCTCTATCTCTCTTCTCCTATGTTCAACTTTTTTTTTGTTTTGTTTTTTTTTTGGCTTTTTTCTAAAGAAGCAGTTTGGAACTGTTACGTAACAGGCCGTTACGACACCATTACGGCCGCTACGGCAGACACACCTGTGAATCTCAATCACACCGCAAAAGCGGGAGTAACGCGTGGTGCTTACAGATGCAATCGTTACATAACGCCGCATTTTGAAACGTTAGTTGAGAGGTTATCTAAGCCCAACCGGCATTGTATTGCGAGTTGCTCTAGCCCAATTTGCAACATGATATTCTCTACCCTAACTTGATATTAACTTGTGTTAATATTTATAATTTTATATATTCAATTTGGAGTTTAGGTTGCTCAGCTTGTTAGTGTCTCTATCCAAGTTGGGTCCAAACTTAATTCGTGTTTTTAAATTTCTACCTAAGCCCACACCAAATTCAAAAATTTGTTGCTCAAGCCTTAAAAACTTTTGAGCTGCGCTGAAGTTGTTCAAGTTGATCTAGCCCAAGTTGCATCCCTAGTTGTGTAGGATAGATGAGACAAGAAAAAGAGGGGTTGTAGGGATTCAAGCAAAAAGGGGTTGGAGCTATGGGTTGAAACCCTGTTGGGAGAAATAGAAGAATGAGGTGTTTGGAGGCTTGTTTAACTTTGATAAGGTAAGGAATTAGTTTATAATCTTAGTTAAGGAATATGGGAAGCAAATTTGTCATTGCAATTCAAAAATTAATGACATTAGCAAATTTCGTCTTGTTTACTAATGAAAAAAATTCAAGAGATGGAATTAAATGTAATACAATTTAAAAAATATCATAAAAATCTGAATAATTGTGTGAAAATTGAGAGGCAGCTGTAATTTATTAAGAAAAATGCTTTGGACTTCTAAATTGTGAGCTCTAAAAGAGCTCTAACCTGTGGGTCCCAGTGTGTGATTTGATGTTTTGGCCTTTGTTTTGTTTTGTTTTGTTTTGTTTTTTTTTTATGCTGTCACATCACTAGTGCTCTTATTAGAGCTCTTAATCACCACTGAATTTATTAATCAGAAAGGAGTGTGATCATTCTAATTTAAACTTAAGGGCATGGCTATTGCTAAAGTGAGGGAGGCTATTGACAAAGCAATCAGTGCTTTGAATAGTTGTACAGTACAGCCATTGATTGCTTCGACAAAAGCTAACCTTTGTTTTTGACAGTAGCCTCTTCACACAAATGAGACATTGATTGCTTTGACAAAAACTAACCTTTGTTTATGACAGTAGCCTCTTCACACAAATGAGAGAGAGAGAGAGAGAGAGAGAGAGAGAGAGATTGCTTCTATAGTGTCAAAGATGATGCATTGATACCACTGCTTTATCAGGTTGCCTTTTGCCAAGAAAACAGAAGAAGTAAAAGAAAACAGACAGAAAAATCAAAGAACTTTGTAATCCAACAACCACTTGGGTTGACATAATTCACTATAAAACTTCTAATTCTAACACATTCTACAGGTAACCAAATGGAATTCAATAGTCGAATATATTTGTATACAAATTGGTAAATTATCATACAAATACACAGAGATGGTAATTGCTTGGTTGCACGAAGTATCCATGCTAATTTTCCAGAATTGGGGTCCCTACTGGGCAACAGTGAAATTGCACCTCAAAACCATGCAATTATGGAGGGCATTAAGTTTGAATTGTAGAAAAAACTTATATTTTTTAACTTAAAACACCCAAAACTGTGCAGTTTTGAGGTGCAGCATGCCAGCATCCATGTTGCCCAGTAAAACCTCAGTTCCATCACTAACCACGGGAAAAATATTTTTAAGCTAAAAGAGAAGAGAAACCTGTTTGGTGCAAATTTTTGTAAGCTGAAAACTGATAATTAGAAAGTAGAAACCAAAAGCACTTCTCCCCCAACTTCAAATAATCAACTTTTTTTTCCCCCAACTTATTTAAGCTATTTTTTCCTAATAAGCTGTAAGTAGAAGTTGAACTACATAGTCCGGCACAGACTTCGAAAATAAAAAAAGAAGCTATAGCCAACTTATATAAGCTGCACCAAACAACCAAGGACTCCAGATTGATGCAACTGAACTGGAAAATAGGAACGAAATTAACCTTCTATGTCCATACTGCAATCAGTAGTGGTATTAAGCCTTATTTCAATTTGAGGCCTATTCCAGAACTTCTGGTGGCCAAAGTTCCCTCCACGTGGAAATCTCATCTTTGTTGTGAAGTTTTCTAACTCCGCCATAAAACCCATCTGCCTCATTTCCTTCTTCACGATGGTTTTTCCGGTTGAGGAAAGTTCGTCTCCACCGTGAACCAGGAGCGTATTGGTTGAACTCCAGCACCACTGTGCCTGTCATATGCATTATAATTAACAAATCTCATATATGATTACAACTTTTCCATCAATGATAATAACAGTCATAGTGTTTTAGTTATCTTCTACTATATCATTTTGATATATTCACTACCTTTCAAAACGTAACTCCCATGCTACGAAAGCACAGACACTCCAAAATGGGTGCCAATGTACACATATAAGTGGGGAATAGATAAGTAAAACAAGAAAGAGGAGGATATTCCTATTAGCACACATTAGCCGAAATGGGCTTTAACTAGAAATTCAAAAACCATATAAATAAACATCTTTAACTATAGCAGTAAGGTCAAGGTGGGTATCTATAACCAAAAAAAAAAAAAAAGGAAGGTCAAAGTGGGTACAAGAAGTAAAGTTGGGTGTCTAAAATTCTATGAAGATTCAATTGCAATAATAGCGTAGGGACATCAACCCTCCTTATGGCTATATTTAAATCATGAATTTGAGTAGGGATTTGGAAAGGAAAAAAGAAAAAGGTGGGTGAAATGTGAATAAAATATAATTACATTTTACTTACTTTTTCCCTTTCCCTTTCCCCTTTCCAAATCCATTATCCAAATATAGCCTAAGTAGTCCGCTTGAAGTTGGCTCTTTGGGCTTTTATAGCACAAAAAAACTAAATAACATCAAAGTTTCATTTGATTAAAATTAACATAATCCTTTAATTGATTGAAATTATTGAAAATATATTTCTAGAAATACGATTTTCAAATTCTTAACAATTTTCATTGGTGCAAAATTTGGAGATAATGTTGCATTATAATGCATTCTTATGAAGGGTATATTTGGTCATTTTATATTAAAAAGTAAACAAGCTTGCCAAGAATGTCGCCTAAAAAAATCATTAGAAAAACTTAAAAACTGATAGGGAAGAAGGCATAATCATTCCAACACTACAACCAAACAGTGCCTCAGAGGGAACAAAAGTAGCTTTCAGCCTAACTGGCCTTAAATACTCAATTGATACACAGTTTATGACACTGCTGAACAAAATTAAGACATACTGTCAAGGAGGACCAGTTAAATTGCGCATAAGGTGACCCACATACTGAAAGAAAGGAGTCAAGAAATGGATATATCAAGAACAAAGGTCTCATTTGTGATGATATCTTTAAAGTGCTCTCAACCACATTTTGCAAGATGTTAATGCTTTCATAGAAAAGAAAATTTAATACCTTTGAAAGACGAGGAACTTAAAAACACTCCCAAGTTCATATATTAGTTAATTAAGAGTGACTCAGTGCACGAGAGTCTGTTTAAAATGGGATTTGGGGAGGGTAAGATGCACATGGCCTCACCCCCATTTCTAGAGAAGTTGTTTTCGGCCAAACCGCCCTTTCCAAGTTCATGTATTAGTCATCTACTTAACAGTTCTACACTCAAGAAAGGGAGAGAAAATTCTTACTATCTATACAAAATTTGTAAATAAAAGATGAAATAAACTTACCACTTTCATGACAACTACAGTAATTGTCACTCCCATCACATGATTCCAAGTGACCTACAACACCATACCACCAACCTGCATACATGCACATGGCACAAATACATCTAATCAGTTAGGCGTATAGATTTATTTGTCTCTTGAGAATCCAATACATTTTGGTTGCGTTTCAAAGAAAGCTCAGGGAAGAATCACTTCCAACATATGAAGTTTTCCATCTTTGACAAAACTTGCCACCTAACAAAGACTGCTCCTCCACCATGAGGAAAGAGGACAAAATGAAATTTGTATATTAATTGTGGATCACTGTTGTTGATATTTCCAATTAAATAATAATAAATAAAAAAAAGCAACTAACAGCTGTTTAAAGTAGTAAATGAAATCTAACTTAGAGCCAAACACGCCTTCTATTGTAGATTTCCCCCTTTTGTTTGTTCTTTATTTTTCATTAATGAAATCTACTAATCACTCAACAATCCAAACAAGTGCACCGAATCTATCAATAGAACCGGACACAACCATGCCCCCATATGGGGTTGTATCCGGTTCTGGGCACGTAAAAGAAATGAATTTGAAAATGAATGAGAGAATTTAGCACAAAAAACGAACCATAAGGGAATTCTTTGTTTCTCCTCCACTGAATCTCAATGTGATCTCCGGGGCATAATTCATTCAAACAATCAGAGTTGTGAAGATCATGAGGGGAAGTATCGATAGGAGGTGCCCTTAGCCTATCCCAAGTCACACAGTTCTCTAATGCAACTGGCCTTCTTCCATGTGGTGGATACCTGCAAAATACAAATCACACAAAGCTCAACCTCCAATTTCTCACAACATATGTTAGCACTGCTCAACGTAAGACACTATGAACCAGAGGAATTTGACAAACCCAGATCAAATTGTAATTAATACAAAGAGTTAAAAATGAATCATTGAGATTTAAGTTCAATTAAGGACATCCTTCCAATTACCTGGCCTGGAAAGTGTCAGTGTGAGGATCATAGCAAAGCTCTGCATCATAGCATGACAGCATAAACCCAACATGCCCATTCTGTAGCACAACCAAAAAAAAAAAAAAACTCTTTTGATCAAAATTGGTTTTAAAGGAAAACAAATTGCAAGTTTGGTATCGTTTTCATTTTCTGTTTTCCCAAAACATGAAGTTACAGCCAATACCTCACGGTTATAGACCTGTGCAGGAAACCAGAACTTGCCAGTCTCAAGAGCAATATACCAAGACATAATTGAATCAACGGGCAGAGAACTATTCCTCTTGCTAATATTGTCAAAATTTGATCTAATTAGCGAAAGAGGCCAGAGATGAGAAAGAGACTTGATCAAGCCTCTTCGCTGGCTTCGATCAAGGAAGCCACAATCTTTTCTGGAAGCTGTATGCCACTGCCACTTGCGGTGTGCAGCAGGACCGATAATTCGACCCCATTTCTGCTTCATATGCCTTTCCCAAAGGTGGTCACTCGAACACTTATCCCTCAAAGAATTGCATACACTGGCCATACTACAAAGCCCATTTGCTGGAAGCCTCTCTAGAATGCTCTCCAAAATCAATTCGGGTAAATCAAGGACACACGTCTCTGTTGTTTCCTCAACATTCTCAACTTTTGAGCTCGGAGTCTTCTTCTTCATTGCCATTGTCGACGGAATTGGAATGAAATTGTCAAAGAGGCTGCTCTTTATCAATTTGCTAATGTGAAAAAATGATAGTTCTTTCCAAAAATAAAAGGGTAAGAGTCTCATCTCATGAGCCCACTTTGGGAGGGGCTTGAGGGGGAGGGACTTGTAAAAGAAGATGAAGGAGAGGCAAGTGATCAAGAAGAAAAACATTTGAAAACAGGATTTGGGTTATGGGTTGGATTTGAGTTCGGCATAAATGATGATGATCAAAGTTAAGGAATCAATTGTGGGAAAGCAGTGGCAAATACCATTCAAAGAACAAGAAAAGGATCTCCAACTTCCTTTCCAAAAACTTGGGTTTTTATCGATTCCACGAAACCCAGCAAACCAAATAGTGGGCCTCGCTGTTGTCCAAGTCTAAACTAAAATGGAGGACAAACTCGTGTGGAGCTCACAAAAACCAATCTGGAAACCAAAGAAAGTTCAAGAATTGCTTCTTTGCCCTGTCAATTACATCTAGAGAGACAGAGAGTAACTAAATAGCTAATCTTGGTTGAATCCAGAGAGTGGGGAATTCAGAGCAATCTATGGGTGTCTCTGACTACTGGGAAATCTCAAGGAGAAGATATTAAAAAAAGAAAAAAGAAAAGATGGGTCTAGATACAAAGACCCGTATCTACAAATCTCTGAGTTGCAGTGAAACAAATACAAACCTATTTGAAAATAATAAGGTGAGAAGGAGATCTGGGTAGTTGGGATTGAAGCAAAATTAGGTGTAACCAACAAAATAAAAAGATCTATTATTATTATTATTATTACTACTACTTACAGAGTAAAGAAACAAAAACTTAAAAGGAGAGAGAGAATCCAAGTGGGAAAAGAGAAGATGAGGAAATCGATTGATGAAGAAGATGATGAATTTAAAACTTGCAGAAAGTGGGGCCCTCTCACCTCCTCCTCCTATTCCATCAGTCCATCAGATTCTTTCACAACTCACCAAATCCTCCTCCTTTAACCCCCACACATACCACTTCAATATGTCTGTTACGCAAAAAAACAAACAGGTACTGGGCAAAAAATACGAAAGCAGTAAAACAGAATTGCTTTGTCTATCGGATTGTGGTGGTTGGTTCACTGTTAAAAAGATGACAATGGAGTAATGAAACTTTTTGTATGGATATCCTATCAGAAACCAACAGTTAATCTCTCTCTCTCTCTCTAGACGGACAAGAGGTCGGAGGTAAGGCCGGCCGACCAACCACAAAATGTGACCCAATAACGTGCAAGGATTCTGTCCCTAAATAATTCTCTTTCCTTGTCCTAATTGACAATGGAGTAATGAAACTTTTTGTATGGATATCCTATCAGAAACCAACAGTTAATCTCTCTCTCTCTCTAGACGGACAAGAGGTCGGAGGTAAGGCCGGCCGACCAACCACAAAATGTGACCCAATAACGTGCAAGGATTCTGTCCCTAAATAATCCTAATTCTCTCATAATTATTGAATATATTTTAAGATTTTTATATCTTCAAATTTTTATATAATTCAATAATTATAGTGAATTGAGATACAGGACAACCGAATAACATAGCAAACCCATCAGCCATACATGTACTGGGCCTAGCACCTTCTCTCAAACTCCAGATAATTATTATTTTTTATTTAATTTATTTTTATTTAATAAATTAATTATACCACTAAGTAAAAAATTGTCTTAAATAATTTGACATAAATTTTTTAAAATTATATAAGGTATAACTCAAATAGGAATATGACATAATATGACATTGATAACAAGATAAATAAACAAATTAGATCAAAACTGAATTAGCATAACACAAAAAAATTCATTTAGTGGATAATTAATTATATATTTTAATATTATTTTTATTAGATTGTGTTTTAATCAAAGAGATTTAAAAAAAAATTATGTAGAGAAAGAGATAAGTAAGGGTCCGTTTGGCAAGGAAAGTTGGGGCTAAAATAGCCACAAAAGACAAAATAGGCTATTTTAGCCATAACAAACAAAACATCACATCTAACCCATAATCATTACACTCTTCTCTCACAAAAAAAGTCAAAAAAACCAAAAAGCCATTTCCAAACCAAGCTTTTTAGCCCAGGCTAAAATAGCCAAAAGAGCCAAAAAGTCAAAAAGCCAACCCATTTTCCAAACGGAGGCTAAATGTGATAACTAATAAATAAATAAATAAATATATAACAGGGTCTGCAATAGGGTTTAATTTTTTTAAATAGAGAAATGGGAATAAGTTCAAATTAAATATTTTTAGAAAATTTTAAAATTTAGTTTTATAAAGGGATATCTAGTCTACCGTCCCTCTCTAACTTTTAGTAACTAGAGAGGACCACAATAGATATATATATATTTTTTATAGCTTAAGGTCCTTCACTTGTTTATGAATCTATATTTCACACACTACGGCAAAATTGGGCTTTAGCGGTGGTTTTTTACCGCCGTTAAATGCTGTAAAACCGCCATTAAAGCCTTTAACGGCGGTATTAACGGCGGTTTTGTTATCGCCGTTTATGCGCGTGTCGGAAAAAGTACAACCGTCGTAAAAATGTAAATTACCGTCGTTAAAAATCGACCAAAAACGGCGGTAACATAGGACCAAAAACGGCAGTTTTTTACCGCCGTAAATAGGTTCAAATTTTTCAAAAAATAATTCTTTCTTCTTGCACTCTCCAAGTCTTAAACCCTCAACCTCTCATCCACCCACACTAACAACTCTACCATAGCCACTCTTCATGAAATATATTCCCTAAATAAATATTTAAACATTACTTTTACTTTATTGTAGATGGTTTCGCCGGAGCACGCCGGAGTTTCGCCGGCAAAGACCGCCGTCATTAACGGCGGTAATGATTGGGCATTAGCGGCGGTTTTGTTACCGCCGTTAAAAGTGGGCATTAATGGCGGTTTTTTTAACGGCGGTAATAAAACCGCCGTTAATGATACATTTAACGACGGTTTTCGTTACCGCCGTTAATAGTACCTTTAACGACGGTTTTCGTTACCGCCATTAAAAAAACCGCTGTTAATGCCCTGTTTTAGCGTAGTGACACACAACCATATATCACACCCACTCTCTTATTCTCTTATTCTCTCTCTCTCTCTCTCTCTCTCTCTTCGTCGTAGCCTCTTCGTCTGCTTCCCACGCTGACGCCTTCTCCACCGCCATGATTGTTACAACCACCACTGCTGCCGCCACCACCTTCGTTGTTTATTTGAGTTATGATCTTAGAGATTCAATCTCGCAACCATGGCAGCCGCTAATGCTCCGATTAGTATGAAAGAGGCCTTCATCATGTTGGAACAATCTTCTGTGTAAATAAAATAAATTGAAACAAAAACAAACAAATAAATAAATAACGTACCGAATTTATTTATCGAACCGAATTAAAAAAAATAAAAGACCAAGTCGAGTGTGTGACACTCTGTTCTTAAGACAGATTCACCCCGCTACGGTACTTACGGTTGAGTGGCGTCTATCTCCCAGGATACAATGATCTTCACAAACTTGTAGTAGCACTCCACACAAATTTGTACGGCGAACTAGAACCTTGTGTTCTTATACTCTCTTTAAATTATCTCTAAAACTAGAATGAAGATTAAAATGCAAAGAATAAAATCTGGACAGCAAAAGCATAACTTGCAGACTGATTTTTTGGATTGGAAAAAATGCTGGAACAGTCTAGGTATAAATAGGACCCAACAGGTGTAATTTTGAATCCAACAAGTGCTGTGAGGAACCGAATAGGTATACTTCAAAATTCAAACAGATCTAACCTGTTTGAACAGATTTAACTGCTGGATAGTTAAACCCGGAACTGCTGGGCAGTTTCTGGAAGTTAAATAATTGAAAAACAGTTTTAATCTGTTGAGGAATTTCGGACAGAGTTTGGACAAAAATTGGAATTCAAATTTGAATTAAATTTCCGCAATATTTTTTGAAAAAATTCAAATGAATTTTGTCCAAAAAATTAATACAAGAACTGACCCGACCCACAACCCACACCCGGAGGAACAGACAGTGGCGGCGGCGTGCGCGTGTGTGGTGGTTTGGGCTAAGGTTCACTTTGTCCATAACTCCTCCCTTCTACAAACTTGGGGTGCCCCTTGGGGCCCAATCCAAGTGTTGTAGGCTAAAGCTTATAAACTCAACAAACCTCTCTTAAAGTTTCAATGTAGGACAAGCCTTACAAGGAAACTCATAATAAAACCTTTAAATGTTCATTCTACGAACTCGAAAACGACGTCATGTTCCCATTCACTCATAAATGGTTTTGACGAACCGTCTTCACCGTGTGACTTGCCATGCGGCAAGGAACACTTCACCTCTTCGGTCCCGGCCCAAAAGACTTTCGGGATCCACTAAATTTTGGGCTCAAAGATAGCCCAAAATAAGCCTATATAAACCAATTTTTCCAACAATTCCCCACATGAATGGAATTTGACGGAGAGAAAATGCAACAACATGATCTAAATTCAGAGAGTACAGAAATTGAAAATATTCTTCAAAGGATAAGTAGTTTTTGGCTTTGAACCTTCCCTTGTGAGACACTATCAGATGTACTAGCTAACCAGTGAACATGATGTCTTAAACTGTTCAGCCGTTTGTGTAAACCAAGACAATAGGACTTACACAGTATATCCCCAGACATAGTTTAGTTCTCACTATTGTGTTCATTTTGGCCCTGAACAACCTGGTCTTTCATGAGTGCTCTAGAGAATTGTAGCCCATCACAAATCTCATAGAACCGGCCCAATTCACACTCATATAGGTGATTCTTATGAAGAGTATCCTGCCATACTCCATTAGGTTTACCGAGATATAAGAATCATTAAAATTTTACTTTACCTAAAATGCTGCAGTCATCACTATTTCATCATAGAAATGGGTAGGAGTTTAACTCCCCAGTGACCCTTCTGAGTTATACACAACTCGATTGTCCCTTTGAACCTAGATCTTGGGATCACTAGTCAACTAGGTTGGGTTACCGTTGTGGTAACTATTATTTAATAGACTTTAGTCCCATTCTCCTCGATGAATTCTCAACTAACTCTCTTGCTAACCCTTTGGTTAATGGATCTGCTATGTTGTCTTTAGACTTAACATATTTTATGGAAATAATTCCATTAGAGAGTAGTTGTCTTACGGTATTATGTCGACGACGAATGTGTCGTGACTTACCATTATACATATAACTCTGTGCTCTACCTACAGCTAATTGACTATCGCAATGTATGCATATAGCAGGCACCGGTTTTGGCCATATTGAAATATCTTCAAGGAAGTGGCGAAGCCATTCTGCCTCTTCCCCAGCTTTGTCTAAAGCTATGAATTCTGATTCCATAGTAGACCTAGCAATACAAGTCTGTTTGAAAGATTTCCAAGATACAACCCCCCCACCAGAAGTAAAGACATACCCACTGGTGGCCTTCGAGTCTCTAGTATCCGATATCTAATTTGCATCACAATATCCTTTAAGTACTGCTGGATATCTAGTATAATTAAGCCCAATGTTAGAAGTAAATCGGAGATATCTAAGAACTCTTATAATTGCTTTCCAGTGTTCTACTCCCGGATTACTCGTATATCTACTTAATTTACTTACTACATAAGCTATATTTGGGCGAATGCAGTTCATCGAGCACATTAACCTTTCAATAATTTGGGCATACTCTAATTGAAAAATACTTTCCTGTACATTCTTAGAAAGATACAAATTAACATCTACGGGTGTTCTAGCAAGATGATCATCATCTTTGCTAAATTTGTCAAGTATTTTCTCAATGTAATGAGATTGTGACAAAGTATATCCTTCTGATGTTTTGGTAATTTACATACCAAGAATTACATCAGCAATGCCCATGTTTTTGATGTCAAAATGTTTATTCAACATTTTCTTAGTAGTTTTAATAAGATCATTATTACTACCTATGATGAGCATATCATCTACATAAAGACATACAATGACATAACATTTGTCTGTGTTTTTAATATAAACACATTTATCACACTCATTAATTTTAAATCCATTTGACATCATTGCCTTGTCAAATTTCTCATGCCATTGCTTTGGCGTTTGTTTTAAACCAAATAATGATTTAACCAATTTACACACTTTCTTTTCTTTTCCTGGAACAGAAAAACCTTTTGGTTGTTCCATGTAAATTTCTTCTTCTAACTCACCATTTAAGAAAGTGATTTTTACATCCATTTGATGAATTTCTAGATTGTATAGAGATG